CCTTCTTATTTAGCTTCTCTAGGATCACTAATTATAGGCTCAATGTCCTTTATTTATGGCTAGAAACCAAATATGAGTGAGTACATCCCATGTTCCTCTTTTTGGGTCTGGCTTACCTCACTCAGGATAGTGTTTTCTATTTCCATCCATTTGCATGCAAAATTCAGGAAGTCCTTGTTTTTTACTGCTGAGTACTCTAATATGTATATATTCCATACTTTCTTCATCCATTCTTCCATTGAAGGACATCTAGGTTGTTTCCAGGTTCTGGCTACTACAAACAATGCTGCTATGAACATAGTTGAGCATATACTTTTGTTGTATGATAGGGGAATATACCCAAGAGATGCCCTATCATACAACAAAAGTATATGCTCTGTTTCTCTTTTAGAAAGATTCAATCTTGCATACTCCAGGGTGGCCTTGAATTCACAGAGATCCTTCTCTGTCTCTTCAGAGTCCTGGGATTAAAGGTGTGTGCCACTACTCCTTGGCGTGTACGGCTCACTAGTATGGCTGCTTAGCCTCAGGCAAGCTTTATTTATTAAAACACAAATAATATACCATTATATTATATATTGGTGCATGTAAAAAGGCAATGCACAGTAGTTCTTCCTTGATGTTTGAAGGGCACATTCTAGGATTCCCAGAAGATGTCTAAAACCTCAGGTAGTAAGCAATTCTACAATCAACTTTTCCTTCTACATATTATCACATAGTGCCAAACCTATTCTGACTTAATGTTTTATATCTTCTTGCTTATTGTTCATTGTTACTTTTTTGCTTTGTAGAGGTTTTTTTAATTTTTTATTTTGTAACAGTATTTTCTGTATTGCAGGGTGATTTCACACTTGGTGTGTGACTGAGGATGGCTTTGAACTTCTGATGTTGTTTTCATTTGCCAAGTGCTGGTACTAAAGACATGTACCAATACACCTCTTTATATGCTTTCCTGTGGATTGAAGTAGGAACATTGTGTATGTTAACAAAAGCCCTTTATTGAGTTTTTTAAAACTAAGTATTTATAAGTAAATTATTTGCTACTCGATAAATGTTACAACTTGGTAGTCTTTCAAACTACAATAAACCCACAAAGCAGTGAAAATTACATTTTTTTTTTCAGGAGTTTCTTTGAGTTGCTCCTGTTCTTTGGAAGAGATGAGTTTTATGAAGAACCCTTAAAGGATATTCTTGGCTCATTCCAGGTAAGACAGTTTACTCTTTTACATTTTATATACACATGCATCAGTTTTATTCCCTAAAAATACTCTTTTTTTTATTAAATTTTTGCTTAAAAGTTTATAGTCACTACAGCGACAGTTTTAAAGATTTGCCTCTATTGGCAGGTGAAGAAAAATCATGAAATCAATTTTAACTTATTCTCAGGCAGCATATATCCAGGTCATTAACTCTACATTTAGTAGGCCAAAGTGGTTTCCATGCTTAAACTAAGCACATTTGGGAATATATTGACATTTCCCCCTGTCTAGAACTTTCCCCTGATGAAGAAGCAGTCTTGCTGATTCCAGATGCAAACTACGTGCCCTATGTTGTTTTCCTTTGCCTATCTGATATTCTATCACATCGTAACCCCTGCAGGTTGTTTTTTGGCATTTAATGTATGAAAGGAAAGAAATAAATCTAGACAAGAATGACGAATGAAGTGAGATGGCCCATTTGGTAAAATGCCTGCCCTCAAAAATGTCACAATCTGAGTTTGGCTTCCAACACTCATACAAAAAGTTAGGGGCTGGATAAATGACTTATGAGTAAGGTGATTGCTGTCAAACTGAATGACTTGAGTTTAATTTCTGGATCTCCTGTGGTAGAAGGAGAACAGACTCCCAAGGGGTTGCTCTCTGAATGTCTCATGTGTGGTTTGGCATGCAGGTGTCTACCCATATACACAGAATATTGTTGAAAAAGTGCTAGAAATAGTTGTGCACTTCTGTAATCACAGTACAGGTACTAGTAGCTTACTGGCTTTCCAGTCTATCTTAACTCAGAAGCTTCAGGTTCAGTTGACTCTCTCAAAACAAGGTGGAGAGCAATTGAGGAAGACATCCGCCATCAATCTCTGGCCTCTACACACAGTGCACAAACATAAACTGCTAAAATATTTCAAGACCATTTCTATACACCTAAAATATTTTGGTTCCTTTAGCCATGTATTTGGGAAACAACAGTCTTTAGTTAGGGTTTCTGTTGCTGTAAAGGGATCATGACCCATGGAAACTCTTATAAAGGAAAACTAATTTTTTCTTTTTTTTGGGGGGGGGTTCAAGACAGGGTTTCACTGTAGCTTTGGAGCCTGTCCTGGAACTAGCTCTTGTAGACCAGGCTAGCCTCGAATTCACAGAGATCTGCCTGCCTCTGCCTCTTGAGTGCTGGGATTAAAGGCGTACGCCACCACCACCCAGAATAAAGTAAAACCTATAATTAAGGTGGGGGCTTACAGTTTCAGAGCTTTAGTCCATTATCATTGTGGGGATCATGATGGTGTGCAGGCAGACATGGAGCTCAAGAGGTACTGCTACATGTTGATATGCAAGCAACAGGAAGTAAACTGAGGCACTGGACAGTATCTTAAACATATATGAGACTCTCAAAGCCTGCCTCCACAGTAAAACGCTTTGGCCACACCTCCTAATATTACCACTTCCTTTGGGGACCATTTTCTTTCAAATCAACATATTCTACTCTTGGTCCCCAAAGGCTTGTAGCCATATCATTCAGTTCAACTTCAAAATTCTTCATAGTTTATAACAATCCCAAACTTACTTAAAAGTCTAACGTTCAAAGTTTCTTCTGAGATTCATATAGTTTTTTAACTGTAATCACCTGTAAAATCAAAATCAAACAGCAGATCACACATTTCCAACATATAATGGCTCAAGATATACATTACCATTCCGAAATGTAGGGAAGGGACCATAGTGAGGAATTACTGGACCAGTGTAGGACAGAAAACCAGCTGGGCAAACTCCAAACCTTGCATGTCCATGTGTGATGTCAAAATGCTCTTCAGATCTCCAATTACTTTCAGCTTTGTTGACTGCAACACACTTCTTTCTCTTGGGCTGATTTCACTCCCTGTTAGTGGCTTTCTTGGCAGGTATCCCACAACTTTGGAATCTCCATCTTTGGATCTCCAAGGCATTCCAGGTTTGCCCTTCACAACTTCATGCAATGGCCTCTTTAAGCCTTCACACAGGGATACCCCTGGCATATGCCTAGCCGCAGCAGCTTTCCTTAATCTCAGAAAAGGGGTTCATAATACCTTTCTTCTATCCTTGAAGCCATAACCAGTTGGTTGAGGTGCCAAATTCTGCTTGTTAGGGCTGGAACATGACCCCCTTGTTCAATTACATCTTCACTAGCTTTCTGCTTCTGATAGTTCCCTTCACTGCTTAAAATTGGCTATCCTGAAACTTGTTCTATAGACCAGGCTGACCTTGAACTCAGAGATCTTTCAAATTACATCTTTACCAGCTTTCTGTTTTTGGTGATTTCCTTCACTGCCTAAGCTTAGCTGTTCTGGAACTTGCTCTGTAGACCAAGTTAGCTCAGAAATCTACCTACCACTCTCTACCTTCCCAGTGCTGAGATTAAAGGTGTTCACCACCACAGCCTAATCTAAGCTTTGCTTTAATTCCTTTTCACAAATTGGAAATTCATCTGGTTGTAATCTTGCTCTGAGCAGATATCACTTCTTCTATTCCATTTCTTATTCTGTTTATCTCCATGAAAACAGAACTTAGCTTCATTCCACTTCCTGGTGCTCCTTTTCTCTTTAAATTTTATATTTTGTAATCTACTCTGGTCAGCTTTTTCTTTTCATTATATATCTTCAATTGAGTTAACACTAATAATCCACACAACAGAGTCTAAACAAGGCTGTTTGAAATTTCCTCTGCCAACAGAATTAACCCAAAGCTTCACTTAACCTAAGGCAGACTCTGAACAATGGCAAAGGCAGTCAGTTTCTTCACCAAAATATCACAAGAACAATTTCTAGGCAACATACTAAAATTTTTCTCCTCTAAAACCCTCTTGAACTAGCCCCCCCACAGTTCACATAACTAGCAACACTATTTACCATACTCCTATTACTATGTCCCATTAAGTAGCATTTAAAGTGTTCAACTGCTTTTCTCATTTGCAGTACCAAGGTTTAAATTTCCCCAAACAAAAGCATGGTCAGGCCTAGCATAGCAGCACCCCACTCCTGGTACCAACTTAGTTAACTTGGTTTAGACAGATTAAATATCTGCCTAAGTTAGTGTTTCTATTACTGTAAAGAGACATGACCACAGTAACTCTTATAAAGGAAAACACTCAATTGAGGTGAGGGGCTTACAGTTTTAGAGGTTTATTTCATTATCATCATGGTGGTGAGCATAGGGACATATAGGCAGACAAGGTGCTAGAGAAGGAGCTGCTACATGTTGATATGCAGGGAACAGGAGATAGATCTAGATACTTGGCAGTATCTTGAGCATATATGAGACCTCAAAGCCTGCCTTCACAGGAGTGACACACTTCTTCTAACAAGAACACAGCTACTCCAACAAGGCCCCACCTCCTGAGAGTGTTACTCCCTTTGGGAGTCATTTATTTCAAACCACACCACAAACACATAGTACTCTGTACATCCATGTGTTTTTACTATTATCTTATCAGCACTTCTCTGGGTTGGAATAAAACAGCATACTTGAAGCACTTCCAGGGGCTGACCTGGAACCCATCATATATAATATTATTATAGTGTTAAAGGCTTATGGCCAATCAGGAGTTTGGCTGAAAATTATATTTGGCATTCTACTATGTCTATTCTTAATTCAACAAAATAGAACAAAATACTTGCTTTCCTAATATCAGCCCTTGGTAGGCAGAAGCGGGCAGATTTCTGTGAGTTCAAGAGCACCCTTGTCTTCACAGTGGTTTCCATCTCAGCCACAGCTACACAGTGCAGCCCTGTCTCAGAAATATGCAAATAGAAAATAACAAAAGTCAAAGGGAAACTGTTTTCATGATAGTCATAATCTACTTAGATTATATATTTAAGTTTTTAATATTTATTAATTTTTCCATTTCACTTTGTGTTTGACACTTGCTCTTGGTAATGTACTCTTGAACGTCTTTGCTCGGCAGATGTTTATTTATTAAGTCTGTACACTGTTCTCGACACTAAGCTCCATGAAAAACAACATTAAACAGAACAGTGAACTCCTGTAATTGTGGCAGAAAGACAATAAATCAAAACTTTCAAAGTGAGTATTTTGGAAAGCAGCAGATACATTACAGTTAAGCCAGATAGGAACTAGAGAATATCTGCACAATGATTTTGGAGAAGGACATTTCAGTGTTAAATGAGGGGCTCAGCAAATATGTCATGCTGTGCACTGATACTGGGAACCATCTAAGTGTCTGGAGACATTGAAAAGTTTTTATTTCTTTTTTTATATACAGACATATACATATTTAAAATTTTATGTATATGGATGTTTTTTCTGCATGTATATTTTTCCAGTTCCAGCTTTTTTTCTACTTAATATATATGTAAACATATCTGTGAAAAAACGATATATCCTGTATTTTATTCTTTTGTGAGCAGAATATAATCAATTTTTGAAAATCCATAATCCACTCCTACCCCCCACCCTCCCCACACACACCAAAAAACCCTTAATGGAAAGTTTGGCTTTATGCCTTTGTTTTTATGTAGTGTTTGTGTAGGGGGCGGTGGGGGGGGTGGGTATGTGGGTGTGATCTTCTATAATCTCTTCAGTATCTCTAATTTTGACTGAATTAGAAAGCCCATCCCCTTAACCTCCACAACTTAAAAATCTTTCCTTCTACTTCTGTGATTATGGCTTCTTTCTAGTCTGAGCCTTCTTTGTGTAGTTTTGCAGTGTGTAGGACTGGCTAGCTTAGACTTACTATGTAGTCCAAGTTTACCTTGACTTTGGGGTAACCTCTTTGCCCCAGTCTCCCAAATATTAGGATTAGGTATAGGTCACTGCACAGCTTACTTGAGCTTTTTTTTTTTTTTTTTTTTTTTAACTCATTGAAGCTTTAAAACTTTTGACTTCCATTTTAGCTTTACCTGGGGAATCTGTTTTCATTTTTTGATCTGAGAGTTACTGCTGTTGGTTATTTTCGAGGCTTCTTACCTTTAGGATCTAGCAAAGGTCAACATGCA